AGAGATTTTTATCGTATCGGCGTGCGCGAATCTAAGAGATAAAAACTTTTCTATCTTTATATAACGCAAAGTATTTCTTTACAATTTTACAGAGAGAGAGAGAGAGAGAGAGAGAAAGAAAGATTGAATACAAAAGAGCTTAAAGGGCCGAAGATTTCATTATTGCATTCAATGGATGCAACGCTTCCATTGAAGTATCAGGGAATATCGCAAGTTTTATTTTTTAAGCATATAAAACGTGAAATTCCAAACAAATAAAATTTGATCTAATTAACGACCTGGATGTGTCAGCGAGTACGCCGCGTATTTCTTATTCCGCCTCATTCGTAAATTACAAAGGCATTCCGCGACGAGATGCCTCAAAATGTCAAGCGTGGATAGAGTTTCTCAAACTTTATGAATTCACGAGATACGGCAGAGAAATTCTTTTAATAAAATATTACGATCAATGTGAGAATCCGCCAACTTTTTTCCAAGACGAATTTCCTGGAGGTCGACTCGGGAAGCGACAACTTTATTCGTTCGTTCATCCATCTAGCATATAATAAAGTAGACGACGAGGCGCCCTCGCTTGCCGATCGTAAAATAATCATCGCCCGCGGGCGGCTGTTATGTATCTGGCGAAGGTACCGTCATTTTCTCGGAGAATTTTGTGGAACAAATGAGGGCGGCGGCGCGAGAGGGAGGGATATCACTACGTGGGTTGAAGGTAACCGTAGCAGATAGCGGGAGATAAGTCGTGTAAAAGGTACGGAGAATCTGCAACGATACGCTGAGAGCGTAGGGGTCTGGGAGAGGAAGAAGAGAGAGGTGAGCGATAGGGAAACTCCATGAGGGAAATATAGCGGAAGGGGTGACGCTGGGTACCGTGAGAGATAGCGGAGACGTAGGAGGTCTGAAAAAGATCGAGAGACAAATCTACCTCGCGTAGGGGGTCCGCCGGAGACGAGGCGGGTTGAAAAATAGTCGCGAAAGAATTTCTTATTAGATTGAAAATTGAAATAAACTCGCAGTGACGTCGGTTGCATCGATTCTCGAAGCTCCTACTGTACCTCGATCACGCGAATCGGGTCACTGGAGGACAGATATCCCGGCCAGGATAGCTCCTGGAAACGTGACGCGCATTACGATATACGTTATTTTTACAAATATGCTTTCAACAATTTTCTTAGCTTCGCTCCGGGCTCGAGTCGCCTGGAGTCGCTGCATTTAAAGGAACGGGGAGTTTTTAACTTTCAACTCTCCCCCCCCCCTCCTTACGAGTTTTTAAACATGAGGATTGTTAATTTCAAAAATCTCGAGATGGATGTGTATTAAGGACCTAAGGATTTAAGAATTTCGAAGAATAAGACTTGGAGAGGAGAAACTAATTGAACTCTCGAAGAGTTGAAACTTTAAGTCAATAATAAGTTGAGATATAACGAGATAATAAGAAACCCTAAGAAGCTTACGTTATAGATTTTTAAGTAAGAAAAGAATACTTACACAAATTACCGATCGAACTTGGCAATTTTTATCATTTATTATAATTATTAGAATTTAAACAATGAGAACGTTGGTGAAACGTAGCTGAGATACAAGTTGAAAAGGATCAACGCGTTTGTGAAGAAATGATAAGTAACAGAATGGTGAATCTGACATAGCAATATAAATACAAATTGATGTTTGGGTAAGTCTGTACGTAAATCAACGCTCGTGATTGAGCTAAATATAATATGACACACTCGCGTGATAAAAAGCCTTTATTGAAAAATACTTTGCCAATATCGACAGATGCCGTCATGAAAAAATTTCACGAAAGTTTATCGGAAAGACCACAGAGAATCCTTAAGCACTGTTTGCGTTTTTAAGGAAAAAAGTGCAACATTATTCATCCCCGCCTTTATTATGCGCTGTTGCCAACTCCGCTATTATTTATATTACGAGACGCATTAGAAACAATAACATTATAATTTCTCAACAATTTAATTTGCAAACCACCAATCTCTCCTTGGCACGTTATCGTCAATTTTATTTTAACAAGAGTTTTAACAACATTTAATCAAGTTGTGAATTTTTACTCTCGAGTAAATAATGGATTTAATTTCCGCCGTGTAAAAAGTATTTTTTTAACGATTCGTTTGCGTACTCTCAGGTGTATCGTTCGATAAATGCGATTTTTAATAATCCCAAAAGCTTTAAGAGAAAGAAATAGAGAGGAAGCCACTATTTTAATATGTATAATATGTGTGTGACGTGTACCCAATCAAACACTGCGCAAACGATTATCTGGATGGATATGAGCGATAGCCATTATACCTGGACATTAAATCATAATGTGAATGTATAATCAGTGTGATATTTCTCCCGCTGAAATCACGGATCTGTGTTTGCCAATTTCGGAAGGAAGGAAGGAAGGGATGAAGGTACACGAATTACTGAATGGCAATTAGTTTGACATCGACGATTTGTGCGAACTCTTGGTTATGAATTCCTGCGCGTCTTTTCTCATTAAAGACTTCGCGTTTTTCCCCCCCGCAGTAATCTCTGCCTGCAAATTGGTTCTCTATCGTTGTACGTTCAGCGGATTTAACAATGCTTTCGATAATTTAACTTCGAATGCAAATGCATAGATGGATTGGAATATAAAACGCTAATACAATTTCTAAAAGTATTGATGTATCTTTAATTCTCTTGTCGCTTATGTTAACCAAGAAAATCGATAAACTTTCGAATACAAATGGGTCACTTAATTAATTCTACAATAATTGTTTCCATTTTTTTTCTGTATTGCCATTTCAAAGACTAATTTAAAACGTTTATAGTTTTATAATTAAAATTCAGAGTTTGCTTACGTTCGGTTTTATTAATATCGTGACGAAAATGTCGATTCCGTATTCAGATCGTTTATGTATTTGATGTTACGCAAATAAATAAAATAAATAAAGTAACACTTCCTTGAACTTCCGAGCACATTCTTGTAACAACGTTGAACGTAAAATGTGCAATGCAAATTTCAGTTCGTTAATAAATTTACAATTGCCGCAATATCAAACGTTCTTTCTCGTTCGAGTCGCTACGACAAAAATCACGCTGGCTCGTTTCGCGAAATGTAAAGCGTTCCGAAAAACTTGCTAACAAGTCGCTCTACGTTATTTCGCGCGCGAATAATAACTATATTCGAGTAGATCCCGCATGTGATGTATATCTTCTCCTGCGAGCTAACTAACTATAATACTAATCGGATTTCCGGGATGAAATCTGTATGCAGAATTTCTGTCTCAGGATTGCAATTCGGTACATACGCGCTGCGCTATCGCTAAACATCAGATACCTAAAACTGTAAGCTGTAATTCTCCACGTAAATCGGTGGAGCTATATCGAATACGCGACGGCAAACGATGCAGAAAAATGATCGGGCAAATGCTGTTTCTCCGTTGATCGGCAGGACCCATATTTCCGTTCTATAATCGAACAAGTCGTATGATACGGCGCGCGTACCGGCATCGTATCCTTTTCAAAGCATCCGCGAATATTAAACGAGCTGCCGCGGAGCGTAAATCAAAGCGGACTCCTTTGAGGACTCCCGCGCGCGATTCGCCGCGCTCCAAAGAGTTTTGCGTCTCTTACGGTGGAACAGCGATGGCAAAACAAGCGCCTGCTAGAATCAGCGAAATAGACGCGTAAGCAAATAAACTGTATATGAGATCCCGGCCCGGTAAGCCAAGGATATTCCTTTGGCTGTTTGCAAACGCAAACGCGAGCCTCGCTGAAATCGAACCCTAAGAGTTTATTAAGTTTACAAGACAAGTTAAAAAGGCGAACTAACTATGAGCGAGGCGAGGCAATTAGGGGTATTTATTCATTTCGCCTTTCGGCTTTGAGAGAATCTACAGTTCCAATACGATATGTAGTGTCACCGATAACGCATCGCAAGTTTAACGGAAGACACAATAATATTAAACAACATATGAGAAAACGCGTACGAGAAAACGTAGGTAGCCCAACTTGTCATTTTTATATTTAAAATGTGAATTCATATACCGTTTCTTTCCACATTTGTCCTGCGCGCCGGTTTCTTCTCGGGCGTAACGCAGTTTTCTTACGGGCGGAGTTATTGTCGTCGGCAAGTTCACATATTCAAATCGACAAACAATTTGTAATTATATTAAAAATGCTACACTTCAGCATTTTTGTAGATGCTACATTTAGCATTCAACACCCCGCCTTCCCCGTACTGTAGTTTATTCTTATTGCGAAAAATGTTACCCGCTATTTTGCAGGCAAGCGCAAAAGGAATAATAAACTTAAAGTAAGACCCCTAATAATAATAATATTATGTTTCAAACTAGATGAATTTTAACTAGCACAATTACTCGCGCTCAATCGCGTTTAACTTTTTTAATTGGCGAATTTAGCAGTGCTGGAGTTCCTTCCGAAGCTGCAAATTGACACTTTGAGAACGGTCGATAAAGCTGTCTTGTTGAATGTTTTAAGAAGGAACCTCTTTTCGATCGCTATAAAATAGAATTTGGCAACATCGAGCTAGTTGCATGCCCGGTCGCATTGTAACAAGATCAACCGTGAACCTGGAGCTGCAGCTGCAGCCAAGCCATCGGAAATAGATTATCGTGCAAAACTGGAGACTGCGCAGGATTACTTGGAATGCGATATGCAGCTTATCGCTAATATGCCATTTCTCTCATTGGCATTATGGCCCTTTGTGTACACAATCCGCAGCATATACGCCTTTACTGATTAATGAACATCGGAACTTTGCAAATTATGTATTTATACTTTCATAAAAACACTTTTAATTGCAAAAATTCATATTAAAACATTACATTCTGAGGATGATGAAAATATTTGTTATTTTCGTTCGGCTTTTACATTTTACATTTTTAATACGTTTTAATTAAGTTTGCACGGTACGCGAAATTTTTACATGACGTTTCCCACAACAGCTTGTTTCCGATGAGGATAAAAATTTCAGTCTGCACGTCGTACGTCGGCTGTTGCAGGAATGAAGCCGAAAATGAAGAATCATTATAGAGCGCATCAGCTGTCGGTCTGGCTGCGCCTCGTCCCAGAGCTTCATCGTGCTGGAATGGAGGATGTCGATTCCAGGCACAACTTGTTCCGTGGCCATAGCGACCCCAGTCTATACGACGGCTTCGTGAGACCAGATCCTCTCAGCAGGATCAGCGAAGAGTTCAAGAGGAAGAACCTTAGCACGGATCCACCAACCACGACGGATTATAGCATCACGACATGCGTCAGCCTTATTCCGGGCACCAATCTTCAAAACGTCCATAATGCCAGTACCGACACCCTAGCCAGCTTGGACGCCGCCGGGTAATTATAGTATTCATTCATAATGTAGAAGCTGTTTCTTCAAATTTATAAATGTGTCACCCCGTCCGATCTGGAATCAGCGCCTTATCCGGGATCTTTTGTCCAAACGCGAAGCCCGCGAGACAGATGCGGCAAGTGAGATAAATAACCGCCGCGACGAAAATGAAATCTTTTCCGTAGCTCTGGTATACATTTTTGGAAACAGCCGCGAGGTGGAAACTATCAGAATACGATCGAGTGGGCGGGAACAGCGTATACATGACGAAACCACTGCAAATCCAGAATGCATCCGTTGTCGTTTGACAAAATTCTCCTTCCTTATTCCTCTGCAACACGCTTAAAAAATTCAGCAAAACTGAGTGCCGTTAACAGCGTAAGCTGAAGCGCACTTTGCTCTTTAACTTGCTTCAAATCTATCGGCAGTTCCTCCTCCCCCCAACATGTCGCTATATATGTATACATATATATTGGCCACTAAACTTTGTCCATGAGAAAATGGCATGAGACGAAACATCATTTTGTAGCCACGGCTTCGCGGGAATATTTGAGAATCATGAAAATTGCATCGTATTCTCTACGCGGTGGCCAGGCAGCCGAGCTTCAAACATATCGGCGCGCTCTTATACTGTCGCAATAGTTTCGAAAATAAAAGACTTATCGCATAGACTTTATTTCAAATAAAATGCAAACTTCTGTAATTTAAGTTATCCCGTTTGCATGGAAGGAAATGATTTAAAACACCGAGGTCCTTAAAATTTTTAGTTTCTTGCGACAAATAAAAAATATCCTGAGATTTCCTCAGCGCTCGAGTATTGAAGAAATTCATTTCTGTATCGCAGTTACGCGGCGTATTCGACAGCTCTGAGCGTGACAATCGCGATCGGCTGCAGCCTGCTGATCCTAAATGTCCTGATATTCGCCGGCGTCTATTATCAAAGGGATAAAACGCGGCTCGAGGTGAAGAGCCTTCAGCAGCAACAGATGTTGAATCAACAATGCGGTCCTCGCGGTTTCACCGAGCTGAAACAGCCACCGCCTCCACATTCGCATTACGCTGGCGGAGGCCAAGTGATCGTCGACGTCGAGAATGAAATGCTAAGAAGGTACGAAATGTTATTCCGATCGTTATTTATTTGCTATTTAACCTACGGATTGCGTCGTCGATTGGTGAAATTGTAGAACTCGAAAAGAATATAGAAATATTGTTCTACGACGAGTTCGCCAAGAAGACGAAGAAAAGTATATGAGTATTTCTTTCGTTGAGAAATGTTGCATAGAAACTTTTGTTAAATTGCAATATTAAATGATGCGCATATACTTATCTTCTTTTATTTATTTCTGTTATTACAGGAATGTAATGAAAGGTCCTCCTAACGATTCTAGCGTTCCTTTTCAAGGCCAAGGAACTCATACACTGCCTCATCAGCATCATTACCAAAAACAGCACCAACAGCAGCACGCCACTCTTCCTCGTGGAACATCAGTCATTCAAGACATAAATACGCAAACTCAAGTAAGCGACTTGTATTCTCGTGTTGCGTCATTTAAAAAGTAATCATACAAAATGTGCACCTGCAAAACTACATAAATTCAATTTGTGTGACAATTACTATTCTATAATATTCTGTTCTGTTATGCGAAAATGTTTGCAACGGCGAACGGTGCAATTAATTTTGTAAAAAGTTACATATTTATATTCTATTGAACTTTCTTAATATTAGAGTATTTACATAAAGAAAACAGCAAAGATGACTACGTGCACGACAGAAGGCTAACAGTGCTCTGGTATACATGTCTTTTCTCTAATAAAGCACGCTGTAAAGTCTGTCAAAGTTTTCGAGCTTAAAGACTTAGTATCCTAGTAAGACGTAATAACGTATAATCGAAATTACGATCATAAAATAGCGAGGCGCCCGCCATTGTCTTGCATATATTATATCTGACTTTAGAAACTTCTTTAATAAGATTACAAATCGTGTTGCACTCCAGAAGCATAAAAAATTTTTTTTATCTCGAAGTCAACAATAATAATTACGGTTGCTTCGTAATCGATGGGAATAAAAATTAAACTTTCCCATAATATGCTTAAAAATATTATGTCCCAGTGTGCTGTTGCGTCCGATGATGCGTCGGATGACAACGTTTTTAACGTCATAATTTTAATTAATTAATACATAGCGTAAAGGCACCTAATATCGCCTAACAAAATTCAAATCGTTCTCACTGAAAGAGTAATTGACATTTTCGTTTATACACTGTAAATCGTGTAACGCGTAGTACCGCCAAATTCGAGGTACACGTTAAAATAAAATGTATACATAATTATGAGCCCACCAAAATAGGAGGGACAATATTTTTCACGGTACATTAGCACGAGGTACATGATATACGAGGTAATAATGAATATATGACGATCAGTTGGAGGATACCGTCTCCAGGTTACTGCTCGAGGTATCTATAAATTCGCGGTACATTTTTTAGGAGGTACAAATGGTTCCCGTACCTACCTCCTGAAGTAATACGAGGTACAATTGTACCTCCAAATGCCTGTCTCCATACCAACGAGATAGCTTTTGTTATTATTTTCCTTCGTCGTGCCATTACG